TTTAAGTGAATGAAGTGCACGTGTGCATTGTCTCGCAGATGGATTGGAAAGAGGGACACGGGGTGAGCGAAGGCTTGTGTGCATGTGTGCCAGTAAGCAGGGAAAATAGTTCCATGCCACAAACACACAGACACACACACACACTTCACACATCTCTCCCATCATGCCAATTTATCCCAAATGTAGGGGAAGAGGAAAAGAGAGGAGGAGGAGGGGATGGAAAGACCTTCCACAGAGTGAATGATGTCAATAACACACAAAGCCTCAGGGGAGAAGGCTGGGTAATTGTTGTTGTGTGCGTGTGTGTGTGTGTGTGCGTGTGCGTGTGCGTGTGTGTGTGTGTGTCTGGGGATGCTTACCATACAGTTTCTTTTGTGTTTGCCTGCCTTTTGTTTGTGTCCACGGGTGGCAAGGGACATGCTGTCATGCTCCTTAAAGCTGTGTGTGTGTGTGTGTGTATTTGAGTGTGCGTTGTTTGTGAAATCCTGTGCGTGCCAGTGAGTCTGCGTGAGTCAGGTTGTGAGAAAACAAGTGCATATCTGTTGCTGAGTGTGTGTACTGAGAGTTTACTAGTGTGCAAACAAGGACTCAGGCGCAGTGCCTTATCTGAGTGTGTGTGTGTGCAACTTTTAAAGTAGTCAGTTAGATAATTAGTTTAAAAGAAAAATAAGATGCTATTAAAACGAATGTAAAAAAAACATAATTAAACTACTATTGATATCTGCTTTGTTCAGTAACTGATTAACACACATACAGGCCTGTTTGGCTTGCTTTTCAGAGCGTCTCCTTCCTCTCCATCACTAAATTGACCTTACGTTTGACTTCACTCACTGTGTAGCTTGTTTTCAGTTTGGGCAGTGTCACCTCTTTCTGTTTTTCTCCACCTAGCACTCTCCCACTGCTCCAGGACTCCAAATTCCCCAATCCGACTTGTTCTCCACCCGTGCCCTGGCCTCTGCCTTTGTCTGTGCAGGCGGGCGAAGGCCGGAGTCTGCTTGGGGAGGCCAAAGAGCGAGTGAGCGGTGCCCGGGCTTGACCGTGTTTGTGTACACTTTTGTTCCCTGTTGGTGTGTGTCTCTCCAAGTGGTCTGGAAGTGAAAGCTCCTGGCGAGCCTGAGACAGCGCAGCAGTTAGCTCTTCCCTCTCTTGACACTCCCGCCTTACTGTGTCCTCGAGTAACGTTACCTGGATATGAACAAAAAATGAATCGTTCAGAGGATCTCATCAACAACTTTTGTTTTATTTTCAAATAAAGAAGGAACAATTCACCTCTGTTTCAGTTTCTCATGCACACATATTAATATTAACCTATTTTTTATGAGCTAATCAGCTTTGAACCAAGCTTAGCTCAAGTTCAAAGCAGTAGTTCAAAGCTGACTCAGTCATGCAGAGATTTAACAAATAAAATACACTCTGTACTTCATTTGTTAAATCTCTGCATGACTGGCAAAAATGGCTAAATATTTACAGTTTAAAGGAGGGGTTGTGACTGTTTGAGACCATAAATGGCAAATATGGATAAAGTGATTAACCAGGGCCCTGTGCAAGTTTTATTTTTCTGTAAAACATGCTTACTGCATTCACCTCCTCACCAAATATCCCAAGCTGCATTAGGCATCCGGCTTCTACCTGACTAATGTGCAAACTTTTGAGCTATGGTGTGTGTAAATGAGACAAACCAGTGCAAAAATCATCTTTTCACTACACAGGATGCACAACGCACCAGGGCCCCAGGAACAGGAAGTAAAGGGCTGGGTTTAACTCACAGGCAAACATTTAAAAATTAAATAGGCATTCTTTTAAAGCCCTCCATAGCTTTGTCCTAATTTTACACGCATTTCCCACCAATATGGCACATGGCAATAAAGACTGCTTATTGGCTCATTTAATTACAAGCATGTGCCATTTCAATGGTTTGCATCATTATGGCCATCTGCTGTTTGATAACACACACGTGTTGCTTGCAGCCCAAAAATGGTGAAGTGACAAACCTAATCACCAAAATTTAACAGATACTAAAAGGCGGATCTTTGTAAGCAGTCTGTGTGGACTCAAAACAATTAACACCACACAAATCTTACGGCAATCACTCCCACATGCTTTTAGCACAAGAGCGGGGTGATGTATAGACTGCACAGCTTCCATAATGGATTTTTTACACTCTAATTATGAATTTTAAGGCTAAAAAAAAGGCTACTTGACTTGCATGAAGAAAATAACACTTTAAAGGTTGAGTGAGGCATCCTTCTTTTTCAGATTTTGCTCTACTGGCCATCTGGTCTGTTTATTTCTCCTTGCAATGTGTTTATATTGTGTTGTTTAGCATGTTAGCATGCACCACATTCACTTTCACTCTTAGATGCAGTGTTTTGTTTGCCCAGTCTACCTTCTCCCCAGGCCTGTGTGTAAGCAGGAATACCACTGTCGCAGACTGGCTGCAAAACAGTGCTTTTATTCCAATATTTACAAAACCAGGGCAGTGCACAGACAGCTAGCTGACTGTGTGGTATTTGGTAGATGTGCAGTTGCTTAAGAGCATTCATACAAGGAATAATAAAAACAGAGACACACTAATATCCACCTAAAGTCTGATAAATTAAGCCATTGAGAGGTATTGATTATAAATTTACATTTGTTTGAAAAAAATTGTTAAATCTTTTACTTGTTTTTGTTACTTTTATCAGTGTGATGAGGTTCATCAGTTTGCTAACAGCACTAAAAACTGAAACAAATGTGAAGAACCGAAATGAGTCAATCAACTACATCTCGGAGCTAGGCTAAGCAAAAATGCGCTGCTCCTGTGTTTGTGTCTGGACTCTTAAATGCTAATGCTTTCACAGGCGTGTCAGATAAAACCGATGATTTAGGCACCCTGAAGATGAATGAATTTAATCCAGAATAAAATGAAATATGTTGCTTTCAGATTTGTCTGAGTAAGCATTGGATGTAAATTTTAAGCCTTTAATATTCTCACTAGCCACACTATACATCAAACACTCACAAAGCCATCATCAAAAAATGCTTTAATGTGAGTTTTGCGTGTGTTTTTAAAGTGTGTGTGTGTGTGTGTGTGTGTGTGTGTGTGTGTGTGTGTGTGTGTGTGTGTGCGTGTGTGTGTGTGTGTGTGCGTGAAACATAAACGCACTTCTTGACTTGAGAATGTGACTGTGAGATTGTCTCTGTGTGTAAATACTGCCCTGGCCCCAGGGTGTACATCCACATCTGCTTCTCAGACAGGCCCATCATGGAGGACATACAGTAAACGCGTTTATACCGGCTTTTCACATTCATATTTTATATATAATTATCTGTCTACAATTGTCAGCATATGTACACGTGTTAACAGATGCCTGTGACACACTTTTCCAGCTTTGTGTGCTGTGTCGCACCTCACGCTATTATTGTGAGAGTGTGTGTGTGTGTGAAACTGTTTGCACACGTTGGGCCACTTCCTAAGTGTGTGTATGTGAGTCTCCATCCTGTATGTTTATATGCAGCCATGTGTTAGATCATGTAAACGTGCGCGTGTGCGTGTGTGTGATGTCATGCATGCCAGTCTAGCTGCAATCATTAGGGGCTCCTAGTGAGAGCAGGATTACAGGGCTATTAGAAAGAAGTCACACGCAAACTTACAGAGCCCCTGCTTTTAATCTTACACAGTAAACCATATTCCACTGGCAACACACACACACACACACACACACACACACACACACACACACTCAAATGCACATAAAATACAGTTTAAGACCCTCATCAGCATATACATACTGTATTTAGTGATGCAGATCTACTGTGGAGTGCATGTTTGCACACGCAACGTTGCATGTGGTGTGTGTTCTCTCTGTTGTGTGACTTCAGTGGTTAGTGTGGGGGGGTTAAAGGTTAGCCATTTGATCCCTCAGACACAGTGTGACCTTTCCCTCTTGTCCTGGTCAGCTGCAACAAAGCCACAGACAGACAGGAGGGGGAGGGAGACAAGGAGAGTCCGGGACACAGAAACAGACAACATAAAGGAATAGAGACAGAGTTCAGGGGACGGGCAAGAAAGAAAAAAACAAAGCAGAGCAGCGAGAGGGGAGAGATTCAAGCCGAATAGGAGAAGATTATGCAGTTATTGCTGGCTTGATCTCCATACTGCTCCAGCCACAGAGTGACACGCTAAAGAGGCCACAGCATCTGCGATGCTATTGTTTGAATATCACTTTTTTACAGTTACTAAAAGCTCCACATTATACCCCTTTTTAACCAGTTAATGCAAGTACCACATGTCCCCAGAGTGTGTATGTTTCAGCTTAAAATAACACACAGCTCATTATTTCTTCCACGCCTGCACAGTTTTGAGCTCGGTTTCAGCATGTGCAACTTTAAATCAAACTGGAGCTGCAGCTACACCCGCCTCTTTCAGAAAGAGGTCTGTGCAGAGCAACAGAAACAGAAATAGAATAAATAAAAGCATGTGATGCAATGTAACGCTTAATAAAAATAAAAATGTAACTTCTAACAAGCTTTTAGACTTTGTGGTTCAGGGAATTATGGACACTGCACTAAAATAATTTTGCCTTTTGGATTTTTTCTTCTTCTTCTCCTTCTTCTTCAGGACAGTATGTCCTTAGAAATGAAAAACTGAATCATGGCTGTACTAATGAATTATGAGCATGTATTCTCCCTCTTAACCTGCAAAACTCACCTCCAGAATACACTGGAGAACCACAAGAACCAAAGTTAGTCCCTCTTTGTCTGATTTTTCTGCTGTTGGTGCATATGTTTAAGACTTTTTTTGCTGAACCTCAATAAACTGCTTTAATAAGGAAGCTGAATCGACAATGGACAGGCTTAGTTCATCACATTCTGGACCTGACGTGACTGCTGGTGAGAGGTCATTTGAAGGAAGTGTCCAAGACGCTGCAACAGTATCTGACCAACGAAATGGCATAATGACATAACAAGTTCATAGTCGAAATCCAGTGACCATTTTTCATAGAGGAAAGGGCGGTGAAAGCTCGCATTTGAATAGGAAAGATGATCTAGAAGCGTTATACTGATTGATCCTCTCTAACTACAGTCACAGCGCAGTCAAATATGGTGACAAAGAACAGAAAGGCGGGGTGGTGATGGGGGGAGAAGCCGCTGTGCTGAAGGTCCATGAATGACATTAAAAGAGCGTGTCAGCTGTGAAATTGGCATCAGGACACCTTGAACTGGCTTAACCTATTTGGACGGGCGCTCCGAACGGGAGGCCGCTGATGAGACGGTGGGCGGACAGAAAGGGGGAGGGTCGTTAGAGGGCTGACAGATTGTAGCGATACAAAGCTCAGCTGCATGACTGAGACAGTCATGCAGAGGAAACCAAGGTGATTAAGCAGTGATGAGAAGAAGATGACTTGACTATAACGACCTTTGTAGATTAGGGATGGATCGTCTCCTCTGATGAGTCTTCTGTGAGTTTTGCTTTTACTTTCAAGTTCAAACTGAACATTTCTTTTAACAGAAACAACTTAAAAAATATACAAAGATTTTGCCTGTGATGCTTTTATGTGGCTGTGTACAGTTCAAATAAAAATGCAACATAAATGATCCTAAAGCACTTTTTCTTCATAATTTATTATTTCACTGTTGCTTAAACTATTGCAGCTCATATAGTGGGATGTCTTCACAATGTGTTTCAACTGAAGATTAAACATTTAAAGCTGGACTTACCTTGGACAGAGACTTTTTAAAATAATTTTGGTTTTGTACATTACAATGAATTTTAAATGAAACAACTCAGATGTAGCTTTAATTCAGTGTGTTAAGCAAAAAGATTGAATAAAACTTTGAGAAACTAAAGCATTTTTTTAACGCAATACCGTCATTTCAGGGGAACAAAAGTACTTGGACAAATTAAATAACTGAAAATAAAGTGTTTATTTCTAATACTTGGTTGAAAACCCTTTGCTGGCAATGACAGCCTGAAGTCTTGAACTCATGGACATCACAACGTGTTGGGTTTCCTACTTTTTAATGCTCTGCCAGGCCTTCACTGCAGCGGCTTTCAGTTGCTGTTTGTTTGTTGGCCTTTCTGTCCAAAGTTTTAACAAGTGAAATGCATGCTTAGTTGGGTTAAGATCAGGTGACTGACTTGGCCATACAAGAATACAACCTCTTAGCTTAAAACTCCTGGGTTGCTTTGGCTGTATATTTTGTGTCATTGTCCATCTGTATTATGAAACACTGTCCAATCTGACTGCATTTAGCTGGACTTGAGCAGACAGTATGTCTCTGAACACCTCAGAATTCATTCGGCTGCTTCTGTCCTGTGTCACATCATCAATAAACACTAGTGTCCCAGTGCCACTGGCAGCCATGCACAACCAGGCCATCACACTGCCTCCGCGGTTTTACAGATGATGTGGTATGCTTTGGATCACGAGCTGTTCCACGCATTCTCCATACTGTTTTCTTACTTCACTCTGGTAGAGGTTGACAGTTCAAAGACCGATCTAGCCTTTTTATTCTTGAGGCTTATGAGTGAGTGGCTTGCAGATTATAGTGAACCCTCTGTATTTACGTTCATTCAGTCTCCTCTTTATGGTAGACTTGGATAATGATACGCCTACCTCCTGGAGAGTGTTGTTCACCTGGCTGGCTGTTGTAAAGAGGTTTCTCATCACCATATAAATGATTCCGCAATCATCCATCACTGTTGTCTTCTGTGGACGTCCAGGTTTTTTTTTGCATTGCTGTGTTCACCAGTGCTTGCTTGCTTGCTTGCTTTCTTTCTTTCTTTCTTTCTTTCTTTCTTTCTTTCTTTCTTTCTTTCTTGCTTTCTTTCTTTCTTTCTTTCTTGCTTTCTTTCTTTCTTTCTTTCTTTCTTTCTTTCTTTCTTTCTTTCTTTCTTTCTTTCTTTCTTGCTTTCTTTCTCAGGATGTACCAAACTGTAGATTTTCCCACTACTATTATTGTAGCAATTTCTCAGATCTTTTTTTTTTCTGTTTTTGCAGCTTAAGGATAGCTTTTAGCTCCTTTGACTGCACGTTGTCTGTTCAAAGCAAAATGTTCCTGATGAAAGCACGACACCTCAAATCAAGCCCAGGTCTTTTATCTGCTCGATTGATAGTGATACAATGAAGGAATTGCCCACAGCTGTCCATGAAATAGCCTTTGAATCAATTACCTTTTGGTCCCTTTAAAAAGTGACACATGTTAAGGAGCTGAAACTCCTAAACCCTTGATCTAATTTAAATATGGATGCAGTCAAAGGAAAGCTGAGAGTCTAGTAATTATGTCCATGTCCAATATATAACTATAATCGGAATAGATTTCAGTAAACTATGTTTAGTTAGGTCCAAATATATAAGGACCTAAATGTAAATACTAACTGTGGCTCTAATTACTTCTAGTAATGTGAAAGGACAGAAAATTCCCCCGTTTCTGGTTCTTTTTTTGGTTGTTCCACTTTAATTTGGAGAATTGTATTCGTCTGTTGGTTTACTTCTGCCCTTTGCTCGATATTTCTGCTTTTTACATGCTGCCTGTGTTCAATTAGCCAGTCAGTCTCTTCAGTATATACACAAACCACTGTTCACTTTACAGTTGCCAGAACTTGTACTTTACACAGCGTAGCTTTCCAGACATTTCCCAGATTGTATTCCCTTTTTCATTTTCTTTTTAACTTCCCTGTGTTCCTGCTTGGCTTCTTCATCGCTTACTTTTACACCGTTTTTTTGGACTCTCTTTTGCCTCCCCCTTTGTCTCTGTGTGTATGACCTTTGTCTGAAATAAAACTTTAGGGTTCTGGATTTTATCTCTGGCCGGCTCGCCACAAATGATTTAAAAGTTCTTACATACCTGGTACACATTTTAATTACAGGCTTCTGAAACTAAATTTCCAAAAAGCATATTGCCAAAGCAATATTAAAGAAAAGCACTCTGAGAGCACAAACTTTAACCAAGGCAGCTAAATCTCTGGGCAGCATTTACTTTTAAGGGAACTGTGGTGTATTATGGATTCATTTAGTTTTCTTTGTTCTTTTCAAACTTAATTTAAAAAGCTTGTTGTGCATTAAAAATCAGATAAGGGCAGCATGACAGATGTTTACTTTGATTACACATTCGTTGTGTAGGAGTAGGTAATGGATAATAAGCATTGATTTGTAAATAACTAGACATGAATAACACGAGCTTGTTATATAATATTACACTGCAGCATATTTCTGGAGTGTAAAATTGAGGTCAGAGGTCAGCTATAATGTGATATTTAGAATACCCATGTAACAGTATCATTTCCTAAATGCTGCCAATACAAAAGAAGGCAGCAGATTTTTAAAAGTATGAAAATTTGACCTTATTTGACCTTGAAGAAGAGGTCAGAGGTCAAGAAACATACTTTTAAAAATCTCTATATGGCTTTATTATCACTTTGACCATCAGATCGATCTATCAAATATTTGAAATCTGTATACATTACTATCTATGACAATATAGACCACACTGTAAGAATCAATGTTATTGTCAATTTTGGCCAGTAAATCATGAAGTTGACCTTTAAGACCTTGGTGGATTCAGGCCAAATTTTGGTGGACTATTAACAGGACCCCACCCCCACAAAGTTTCATCAGAATTCACTCAAAACTCTCAGCTATGGTGTTTACAGACAGAAAGAATAACACACAGATACCAAAGCTACCAAAAACATATAAAAAATTAAGTCACACACACACACACACACACAGACACACACACACACAGAATGTTTGGCAAAGTCAAGCTCATCACTACAGGAAGCTCTCTTTCCTGTCCCGTCTTTGTTCTTGTTCATAAAGTTTGCTCCCGCGCTATCGTTCATTCATTCCCTCAAACACGTGCACACACACTGGCCTTCTTTTATTCATTCCTCCATTTGAACTTTTTATATGCACGCCCCATCCTGCTTCCTCTTTGCGCCGCTTCCATCTCTTTATGTGCTGCTTCGCAATTTAATTCGACTCCATTTTGAAACGTACTGCCACAGAAATCCAACACTGCGCGCTCTGCTGCCAAAGCAAATATGAACTCTGTCTGTCTCTCGCTTCTCTCGCTCTCTCTTCATCTTAAACTTTCTCGCTCACTGCCTCTGGCTGTGATCAAGCTAACGTAAATATGCGCTTAATTAATGCGATCCGGCCCTGTGTGAATAGGGATTGCACACGAACAAGTGAAGCTAAGGCAAATGTCTTTGTTCGCAAATGCACACTTTCTGTTTTAAATTCACCTGAAGAACAAAAAAACTGAGAAACCTTCCACGGTTCCACCCATGGTTAGACCAACCATGCGCACACCTCTTCCTGTAGTTCAGCATTCTTCTCAGTCATCAGCTTTATCGCCGCTTTAGCCTGGACCAGATTCGCCATCGCCTGTCGGTGTATCTCCTCCTCTTTTCTCCTCCTCTCCTCACATTGGGTTCTCCTCTTGTCCTCCCTGCTCCTCCACTCTTGCTGCAGTACCTCTTGCAGTTCCCGCAGTTTCATTTCACTCTTCTCCAACTGCAAAAGAAGACATGTTTTAATCCATGAATAAAAACAGTTACTTATAGTAAACAAAAGACTGTTTAAGCAGGACAGGACGGTTTTGAGATGTGGATCTCTTTAAATGATGCTGTCTGGCATTTTGTGGATTTCAAACGGACTCATTAAAATGTCTTTCAGGGATTACGGGGAAATCGAGGTGAAATAAAAATGCAAAAGCTTCAAGCGTTTCTGCTTCATATATTGGGGACAACATGTTTTCTTTGACCTCGTCTAGACTTTGTTCCAGAAGTGGGCAGGAAGGGAATTAGCAGTGACAGACACAGTAGGAGCTGAAGGGCTTGAGGGGGGAATTTAGCATTTTACTACACTGGGCATATTCACTGCTTGTCAAATTTGTGATCTTGACACTGGTTTGTGTTTTGCTTTCTCTTTTATTGTTGTCTCCTACCATCAGCAGTTTAAATGTGGGCGGATATATATTTTGGGTGTGGGAAACCTGCTAACCCGCACGTCATCATCTACTGTTATCACATATCCAACATCTGGATTTAAAATCTGACACAGAAAATCAACAGAATCTTTCCTTTCCAACATTAACAGTCAGGTATCAAGCTTTATATGGAAAATTAAAAAAAAAATAATAATAATTAAGAAGTGGATTTACGCTTCCTCAGTGTGCCCTAGATATTCTGTAATACAGTTTAACATTGTACACTGTCTTCTTGGTCTAAAAACAACTTATCAACAATTCAGACAGACCTGGTTCCTACTTGTGATTGACTCACAGGGGCTGCAGCACACACTGTTGGATATGTTTGTGCCTATGTCCAATGCTACATAGAGGTTGGAATTGCATTTTTGATACTTTTTCTAAAATATGTGGACAAGCAGTATATCCATCTCCATAAATTTCACTGTCCGGCGTGGTACAGATGGTATTAATTGAGGGCCACCAGGAAGGGAAAAAAAGGGAGACGTAACACAACAGGTGAGTGTTCTGCAGTCAATCACCTATAACAACCATCGCAAAAGTAAATCAACGTCACAATGAAGAAAACTCACGTTTTCAAAGACTAACTGAGACTTGCATGAAAATGACATGCAAGCTGTGGCATGAACTGAAGCGAGCTATTCAATGAAGACGTCCTACAAGCTATTAAGGAACTGATACAGTCCCAATACAGAAATGGTTTAAGACTCTTTATTTTTACTCCTTATTGTTATGCAAGCCTCATAAACAGCTAGAGGAACTTCTACAAGTTCCCAAATTTAGTGGTTAATTTGCTTCTTTTCAGCCCACACTAGAAAAAAGTTACCACTATTTTGAAACATTAGTTTAGTCACACTGTTACTATAACTTGACTAGATTAAGAATTAATTACTAATTAATGCACAAATGTCTGCAAATATTTTCTTCAAATTTTTGCAGTCAATTAAGGCCATGTCAAAAAGAAAGTACACCATCTTTCTAAGATTTTTAAATAAGCTATCAGGTCCTTAAAATGAGGTAAATTTAAATACAAAACCTCAGACAACAACACATGATCTATTACACCACATCAGTATTTATTTACAAAAATAAGACAAAATTCAGAAGCACTGTGTGAAAAACGAAGTATACCCTTAATTCTTTTCATATGATTTACAGCCTGAGTCACACAGGCCTAGAGACCTTGGTAAACAAAAACCATATTCTCAGATTGTTTGTAAGTGTTTACCAGCAGTTGCTGTGAAATCAATTGCAAAAGCCTCATCCTCAAAGGCCTAGAGATCAGTCAGTGACAAGCTGATGAGTGGTTGTTGGACGTTCCCGGCAGTCACTAGGTAAAATTGGTTGCAAAGAGGTAAATACCACTGCACTGAAAACATTCATGCAATTACCAGCAGCTTACTGCACTCGCCCAAAGTTTGCGCAGGAGCGTGTCTGCTAATACTCGCCAACTACTGACCAAGCAGTCATTCACTTTCAAAGTAAAAGTTGTGCCTTAAATCTGCAAACAACAAATTTCAAAAGGCACACCTTTTACTTTAAAGGCCAAGTTTCTCTGTTTCTGGTTTGTGTCACACTTCTTCAAGTTTAACTCTTGCTAAGGTAAGTAGTTGGCGTGTGTTTGCAGACAAGTCAGCAGATAATCTGCTAGTGACCAAAGCAGCTGCAAGGACGTTTTTACCACGTCAAAGTCAGCAACTTCCAACAACCACTTGCTGACTGGTTAGAGAATGCACATTATTTCTCAGTGAACCGGTTTGTAGACTTGACTGACTGGGACCTAAGAGGGAAAGTAACAGCCAGGTGCCAATAATCAAATACACTTGAAAAGATGAACAACCATGGCTTGTTTGGAAGTATTGCCAGGAGAAAGCCTCTTCTCTCTAAAAAGAGCATGGCACCACCGCTTACTTTTACAAAGTTCATCCAAACAAATCTCGAGACTTGAATGTCAACAATGTCCTTTGGACATATGAGACCAAAGTGGAGATGTTTGGCCATAATGCACAGCACCTCGTTTGGAGAAAAACAAACACAGAGCGAACATATCAGCACAAACACCTCATATCAACTATCAAGAAGAGTAGTGGAGACGTGACGACCACAGGAACTGGTCCCCTGTCTTAGTCAATCACAAACTCCTCTGTATACCAAAGTATTCTAGAGTCAAATGTGAGGCCGTCTGTCTGAGCTAAAGTTTGGCTGAAACTGGGTCATAAACAGGACAAAGATCCCATGGACAGCAGCAACTCTACAGCAGGATGACTGAAAAAGAAAATAATCAAGGTGTTGCAATGGCCCAGTCAAAGTCCAGGCCTCAGCCTGACTGAAATGCTGGTGAGGGACCTTAAGAGAGCTGTGCATAAACAAATGCCAGCAAACCTCAAAGAACTGAAAAGAAGACTGGACCAAAATTCCTCCACAATGACGTGAGAGACTGATGAAGTCATTCAGATTACTTCAAGTTATTATTGCTAAAATTTGTTCTACAAGCTACCAAGTCCTGTGAAAACTTGAATTTGATGCATAGTGAGTACTAAATTCCCTACTTTGAAAAGAGTTACTACTCACAAAGAACTCAGGAAGAACTTTACCCAGAAACTGAAAGTTTTACAAAAAGCTGGTGCAAGCAGATCCTGGTCTTACATTTCTAGAGGCCACAAAGTCGCAGAGAGAAAACAAACAAAGACAGACACACAGGGAAGTAAAATGGCCAAAAGAGAAAGGAAAAAGTTGACAGATGGCAAATTACAAAAGAGAACACAAGAATGGATGTACTCGGCGAAGCACATGCTCTGTCCTCTTATCTGCAATTTCAGAATAATCTGTCTGCTTGCCATCTGTTCAGATTTCTTTCTCATAATACAGTGAATGAAAGATGAGATGTAAAGGGGGGCAAAATTGAAAAGGACAACCACAAAAGCTTGATATTGTGAACAAAGGCTTTAAGAACTGCATGCATTTTGCTCCTATTTATGTAATGGAATTTGATGTGTACAACACTCATGTTCACCTAACACCTATGCACCTTCTGCTGAAGCTGGGACCTGTCTCGCTGACACTGTAGAAGCATGAACTGGCTCTTCTCCCTGTCCACTGTCAGCTCTAGGTCCATCTCCCGGCGAAGCTTCTCCATCTGCTCCCTCAGGTGCAATGAACTCTGGGATCTTTGCTCTTCTAGAGCAGCAGTCAGCTACAGAATTAAAGCCAAACACACACACAAAAAAAACATTTACACAAGACCAGCCTACATATGTTTATTCTTGCATACAATAATGACAACAGCACTGCACTTGCACAACAGCAAAGCTAATTAAAACAGAAAGAGACTTTGTCATTGAGACAAAGAACATCCTCAGGCTGATCTCTGATTCAGACCAAGTGTGGCGTTCTTCATCATATAAACAGGAAGGAGGAACGTCACACAAGGCTTTGTCAGCTTTGTCAGTGCAAAAAAGAAAGAAAGAAAAAGCTCGAGACACACAGAAAATAATAAAAGTGGTGTTATCAAACAGCTGGGTAAAAAATATTTATACAACATCAAGATGTCTGGCCACCAAACCCCACACAAAGTTGTGTTTAATTCCTCTGTGGTTTCCCTTGATTCTTATTTGCCTCTTTACTACTAAATTTCTAATATCTTATAAAACACTTTGACAAACGCTGTATTGTTCCATGCTGTGTTGCAGCTCAGTGGTGATGCAAGCTCAAAACAGAAACAATGTCCTAACTCCTTTCACACTATGTGAGAGGAACGCTTTGTTAGAGTGTGTTACAATGATAGCAGTGTGACTGGCCTTGTCACAATGCTGTTGCAGTCCAAAAAAGAACTGTTGGGACATAAAACACCAGCTTTCAGAGCGGGGACCAAAGTTGCATGCGACATATTTTTAGCCCGGCTTGGCCAAGGCCACCTTGTTTTCTTTCCACCAGCAAAGAGATCAGACAAAGTGTGCACCAGCGCCCGGGACTGGGACCATTGTGATTTTGTATGTGTTTATCTGGTGCATGTGTCTTTGTGCATTTTTGCCTTCAAGTGCAAGAAAAATAGTGGCTGTGGGTGTCAGAGACGAAAATAAAGGGCAGATTGGCGTGTGAAAATGTGTGTATTTGACCTTGTGCGTGCATGCATATTATGGTTTTGGTTTGTTGAACTGTATGAGAGACTAAGATTGCGTGTGTTGGATGAAATGAGAAAACACCACTTCCTCTTTGCTGGCTGAATGTACGTGTGAAGAGCATGGATGGTTTGTATGTGTATATCCTTTTGTGAGCGAGTGTATGTGTGTGTGTATGTACACAGCTGTCGTTTGTATTTAAAAAGCGCACCAGAGTGGCCGCTTCCTTTTCATGGGTATAAATTCATGTGAAATCAGGAAGCCCAGAATGAACAATAACCCATATGGATGTGTGTGTTTGTGTGTGTTCGTAAGTATTTTAGTCCAAATAAAGTATGTGTCAATGTCTTCACATCTATGTGTATTTGTGCTGTGTATGTTCCAGTGTTATATTTGTGCCCGGCACTTGTTCAGGCTTAGGAGTACAATGCCTAAAGCAATTCTGTAATTATTTTAAATGATTAATTTTAAATTGACAGCCTAGATACAGCTGGTGGTTTGTACACCACAATAGATTAAAGTCAAATAATCTATATATGATTGAAGTGGAGGCTTTTAGCTTTAATTCTAGGGGTTTGGGAATTTGCATTAAGACTTTATTAATTTCTTAAGACATTTTTATACACAGCCCCCCATGTTCAAGGGTTCAAAATTAATTAGACAAAGTAATATAGTTTTAAATATAGGGATTGTTTTATAATACTTGGAAGGTTAATCTTTGGCCAGTCAATGACTGTGTCCTGATGTCAGGACTGTACTGCAGCCACGCTGAGTAACTTAAAAGCTACGCTTGATGGGTTAAGATCAGAAACCATTTCCTTATGTTGAGAAACTCGTGGGTTGTTTTTGCAGTATGCTTTGAGTCATCATATTGCTTGTACTGTGAAGCACTGTCTGTCAGTTTTGCGGCATTTGGCTCAATCTGAGTGGAGAGTATACTTCAGAAATTATCCTATTAGCACTCGCATTATCAATAAACACTAGTGACCCAGTTCTACTGGCAGGGGCACATAACATGACTCCATCATGTTTGACAGATGATACGATGTTTTTCTTCTTTTCCATTCTTTGCTGTTTGACCTCATCTTGGTTTCATCGGTACAAAGAATGTTTCCCAGAGCTGCGCAGCCTCTTTCAGATGTTTTCTAGTAAAGTCTAATCTGGCCCTCTTGCTCTTAAGTCTAACCAGTGGTTTGCACCTTGCTGTAAACTCGCTGTATTTTCATTCACAGGGTGTCTCTTGATTGCAGACGGTGGCAATGACACTACTACCTCTTTTAGGTGTGTTCTTGATTTGGTTTGCAGCTGTTTTTCTTAATAACGGAAATAATTCTGTCATCATGCACTTTAGTCATCTTCTGTGGTCTTTCTGACCTTCTTGATGTTGCTGAGCTGCTCAGTGCATTAATTCATTGTAAGAATGAACCAGATTGTTGATTTAGTCCCTTCTAAAGCTTTTTCTCTCTCTGACAGGGTTAGCTGAAAAGCTATTAAAAAATGTAACACTTTGAGTCAAGTATAGATATTATACCTGCTTTATTTTTCATAAAATAACCAGGGAACAGGCCTCACCTTGCCTTGAAACTGCTTGCCAGTCAATTGCCAATTGTCTATCTTGAGTGGTTTTCTGAATAAACACCTTTTCAACATGCTCTGTAATGACTGAACAAGGCTCTCCAAAGGCAACCTGCAACTTTACAAGCTTTTTGGTTTCACCGCAGGCCTTTGCTGTAAGATCGGTTAATCAATACATAACAACAACGCTGATTTCTTCCTGCCGAGCCTACGTGAAAACTATTTTTGTCTAGTAATTTTCTGCTGTTAGTCAGCCTAGCGAAAACAGATTGTCCGTGCACTCTCCGTTCAGCTCCTTAACAGATGTGCCTCTGACAGACAGACAGATGGCTCTAACGAGAAAAATGGCTGATGGGAGGGCGGAGTCTTTACGGACTGAACAGAGAGAACACTTCAGCAGCATTATAAATCGCTTTTAATATAACTTTAGAGTATGGCAACCTGTTTAGTCAGTTCTGTCATACTGTTTCTCTCTGATTGCTGCAAGCAGATTTCTTCAAGACTAAGATTTCTATAATGCGATTTCTGGGGTTAAATGTGTTTTAAGGGTGTAGAAGACCTGAGGTAGTGATGGAGATGTGCATACGTCAAGTCAAACATGCTTCTTTGAATTCTTGTCCACAAATATTTTGCTTGTTATGGCTCTCGAGCAAAGCATCCGTATTTTCTCATATAAACATTAATCAGCATAAGCAAAAAAGAAAGAAGCGAGACAGAAAGCAGCTTAATTTCCTTCTTTTTTCTGGTGAAATGCCCTCTTTGTTGTGACACACAGCAAAACCTCAGTGACTTTTGCTGCCAGACAGGCAGACAGTGTACTGTTTGACTAATAAAAGGCAGATTGGTTTTGTGTGCGCGTGCGTGTTTGTGTGTTCAATTTATCTGGTGTTAAACAGACTGGTGGTCCTGGTGTCTTGTAATGTTGTCCACATTGTGTGAGTCAGGATTCTCCCTATTAGACTCCTCTGAACTGTGACAACAGCTTGGACGCTCTCCTAAACGTCTGTTTACTTCAGCACTCGGGAACTGAATGTCTGACATCGGTAAACTGATGCACTCATTTCATCATACAAAATTAAAACAATGCATTGTACAAATTACACCGCTAGTCATCTGCTGCTGACAATGCGTCTAGGATGGTGTTTATTTTACAGGACTGGTATTAATCTTTCTTCCACATAATTCTGCTGCACCGTGTTCATGTAAATGCTTGACCACGTCAAAATGATCTTAAGATGCCAGGCTGCTCAGGGCGCTGTGCAGTGCAAGCATTTTTGGAAAATAAACGGTGGAATAAATAAAAATCTGCTTAAAAAACCCCAAAAAACTGGATGACTACACAAACTGGCTTAGTAACATATTCTTTATTGCTGTGTATCAGTATTTAAAGGATTATTGTTCATACTGATAAAGACTTACCTTTGTGGCCAGCTGCTGAGTGAAGTCTTCCTTCATCAGATTAAGGGCTCTGCCATGAGATTCTAGCATAACATCCCTGCAAACACGCACAGTTCACTCATTAAAAATATCCTGCCTTGCAATAAAAACAATCTACTGCACATGTGATACAATTTTTCTCCCTTTTATGTAAATAGGGCAACATTAAACAAGCATCCACTGTGGGGGAGACAACATATCATCAGTTCAACTGCAGCCCTAGGACAAGATAACTCCTTTCCTTACTCGATACAGCAGAAATAGCAGCCATCTGTTTGTAAAACCAGACTGTAGTGACAAAAATTTGACCAACTGTCTGAGACCAAATAATGCACTCACAGTCCCTGGCTGCTTTTGACTTTAACAAAGACTCCCCCTGCCCACTGCGTAAATGAAAAAACAAAATACACACATAAACCACCTACAGCCCACATACCACAGACATGCTAAAGACATAAAAGCTCAAAAATTGTCTGTGTGAAGTCTAAGAAAGAAAGACAGTGTGGGAGATAAAGCGGAGTCAGCTAGAAAGGGTAAACCTCATTGATTTGTTGATCTTGTGTCCAAATATTATATGTCACTTCAGCAGCTGGTCTGCCTGATAAGATGTGAAGGAGCATAAATTCAAGGCCACAGTGAGACAAGCTGAGCTTTTTTTCCCTTCTTTTTTTTTCCTTGCAAATGTTTATACAGAGTAATTTGTAGAAAAGGCTCACTGAGGGAACCCGGAGCAACATTAAGGCTTAGAAACTAATACCAAACAAAAAGCAGAGATCCTGTAGACACATATGAATATTGAATTGTCATTAACTGGCTGTGTGCAGGAAGGTGAGGACCCAAATGCAAAACTCACAGGAGCGGGACGTGAACTCAAAAACACAGCTTTATTGCTGGGAAAAAAGGCAAAACGGTACAAATCTAAACAGGGAAAATACATAACTAATCACACGGGGAGGCACACGGGGAGGCACACAAGGAGACGCGACAAAGGACTGAGGGAGACGCGGACATAAACACACAGAAAGATAACGAGGGACGTGGGAGCACACAAGGAACGCAGCTGACACGAATAATCATAACTAGACGGGGCAGGACCAAACACAACACGACCTACACTGATTATCGAGACTATCAAAGTAAAACAGGAAGTACACTGAGACGCAGGCTGGAGGGGGAGAGAGAACACGGAGGAGCAGAAGGGAGAGCACAGACATGACGGGCTGGGGAAATATGGAATAAAACAGGAGGGGAAACGAGGCACAAGAACTCACAGATACACAGAGGGCGACGTGAGGGGAAATCTAATAAACCATGCTGACCAGAATAACCTAGGAACCATAGGATACAAGAGAACTCAAAAATAACACAGAACGATCAAAAATGCACAAAATTTCAAAACACTGGTAAAAATGGCATAAAACATAAATCATATCAATAACATCAAGCATGCTGTCGCACATTCACATACACTCAAACACACACACACACACACACACACACACACACACACACACACACACACACACACACACACACACACACA